ATCCCAAACAGACATAAGACTGCAGTACTAATTAATATGCTTTAGTTTATTGTAATTTATATTAATAATTAATAATAAATTGAACTTAATAAAAATTCATTCAATAAAATAATTTGTAAAACTTAATGTAGCGTAAACTGGAATGTTTTCTTTGTAAAATTAAAAATAAGGTATTTAATTAAAAACTATTGTAACTATAGTGAAAAAATAAGGTGGTTTGCATCAATATTAGACATAACTGGTTGACGACTGTACCACCTGAGTCAACCGTGACCAAGGGACCTGTAAAGGGCCCGAAACGTCGGTTTGTTTGAAAAAACAAATATACGAGATTTAAATCCGGAAAAAAAGTTTCATTTCCTATGTGTAACAATCGCGAAAACCTAAGAACTCGACAAGTTATTTATTATTGCAATAATATTAGACATAACTGGTTGACAACTTTACTATCTCAGTCAGTCATGACCATGGGACCTGTAAAGGTACCGAAACGTTGGCTTGTTTGAAAAAACAAATGTACGAGAGATTTACTTGGATCACGTTATTAAAATTTTTAACACACATTTTACATAACCTCGAAAAGTGTTAATTAATCTGAACATTTGAAGCAAATATCCGAGTCCCGACAACAATATGATTCTTCAGCTTTACCGTGTCTAAAATTCAAAATAATCTTTATTTCATAGGTAAGCATTATTACACTTGAAACCGTCACAATGGTTAAACTCTATCGCTCATTCGTAAGGCAGATTCCCCTGAGAAGAATGAGCAAGAAACTCTAGGGGTTGCTCTTTGTAAATAACATTTACAATATTTTTTTTTTATTTAAAACATCAGAGATCGAGACTACCTCCATGAACTAAAGGGGTACTACCACGGATTTTTGTCATCCAAATACGCAGAAGTTGTATAATAACCTTTAGTATAAAGTTTTTGTTTCACTATAGTTCTAAACGTCGTGAAAGGCAAATTTTGTATATCAACCGGAATCTTGTTATAGAAGCGTATACATTGCCCCTTACTGATTTTTTGACTTTGTTAAGATGACTATCAAGAAAAGCTAGTTTATTTGTATTCCTCGTATTAATGTTATGTCTGTCAATATTTTTCATAAATAAATTACTATTCCTTTTAACATAAATTACATTTTCATAAATGTACTGTGAGGCTAGTGTAAGAATGTTAATTTCCTTATACTTATCTCTCAAAGATACTTTGGGGCCCAGATTGTAAATTGCCCTAACTGCACGTTTCTACAGGACAAAGATTCTATTGATATCCGCGGCATTACCCCAAAGCAAAACCGACAACGTTTCTGCTGTACCCCTGTTTATACCTAAATATATACATCGTATCACCTTAGCCACCCTTCGAACCCAATTAGAGATGTCCACAAATATCAATAAGTTTTTCTTTAAAAATATTTATTTTTTTACATTCCTAACGAATGCTTCTGCAAATGGCTCATTAAATAGGGATATAGTTATTTTATCTCGCTATAGAATTTGATGGCGTTGTATTGGAAAGTGAGAACTTTCCATTAGGTACAACTTTGCAATATAGTATAGTGTACTTTTGATATTTTTTTATTTATTTTACTAATTTTCCTCTTCTTATTTAAGAGCTAGGCTCTTGTCGGAGGAATAATCGCGTGTCATCTATAGAATAGAATAGAATAGAATACGTTTATTTGCCAGAATACAGTAATTGCAAAGGCCTTAAGTAAAATTAGGTACATTGTATTCAACCTGCAAATATTAATGGGATTCAATGTTTAGTCTCTATAGTTTCTAATTAATGTAATGAATTTGTAAATTCTAAGTATTCTTTATTACTATAGAAGCAATGTGTCAAAAGCCATTTTGTCAATTTTAATTTAAAAGTATGTCCTTGTAACAATTTAATTTCGTTTGGTAATTTATTGTAAATAATTATACACATGTTGAAGCAGTTATTCTTATAAATTACTTTATGTCTTATCTCTGTTTAGCGTTTTAATTGTTGATCTCCTGATACATTTTCTTCTATCAAACTTTACTTCATTGCTCTTGTTTCTTCGGCAGGTAACTCATTTTGCGTTGTTGTGTGGCACAAACCGGACAATTATATGAAACCGAATGCAGCGTAAATATCGCGACTGAAATAATTGTATCTTTTTTATAAAAAAATCGACCCCTTTTCTATTTGCCAAGTTTTATTGGAATCGGTCACCGGAAAGTGCGCGAAACCGGATCCATCCCCTAGTTTGCCACCCTTAGAGGTAGAATATTGTCTTCAAGTTTAAATTGGAGCAATACTAAGGTACTCTATTTCCAACAAAAAAGAATCATCAAAATCGGTTCAGAAATGCCTCTGATTGAGAACCTCCTTTTTTATGAAGTCGGTTAAAAATTACGCTCGTCTGGCCTCATCCTAATTTGACAGATCTGCCAATGATATAGTCAAAACTATTAAACGGTACTTTTCTCGATTAATCTATGGAATTAATGTTGTTTAATGGAAGATTCAGATAGTCAATCATAAACAAATAGATATACATAAATATTAGACAACATTAGATACGTTGCTCCGATCCCAAAGGATGTATCTAAAACACCATTAGAAATAGGAAAAAAGGGGAGAATGTCATGACGGTATGTAAGGTCGGGTATTGATGTCTGTGATATTATCTACTATCGTAACTTAACCATTCTGGTTGGTTAGGGCTTAAAACATGAAAACACAATTTTTAATTGGAACAAAATGATACTTACAGTCAAATGACTAAGATTTATATTGCAATATTTCAGTATTTTTTCATCCTGGTTCAGCCGTTCCATCAGGAGGCGTTTTAGTCAAAATGCTAGAAATATATAATAGCCAACTATTACACGTTAGATGGCGCTGAACTCATTTTTCGTTACACTAAGGGCTCATTCAGAGTGCAGGCGAGGGCGCGGCGGCGGGTGCCAGCGCGCAGGTCTTGGCGTCGTCCCTTTCACAGTGCCGAAGCGTCTACGAGTGGGTAGATCCACACGTCGAATTCGCAAACAGACGCGTATGCCGCGGGAGCGCGGCTTCCGTAGAATGTAATAATTAAGTATGTAAAATTTAGTATTTAGTTTGACGGTTGCTCGCGGTTGCCGCAGCGGGATACTAATAGTGCCGCGCAGGAAACAAAAACTGTACTACAAACACTTGGACACGAGACAATATAGAAGTTTTTCTACATTGACCCGACAAAAAAAAGGGGGGATCGGACCTCAGAGACGGCGACACCATGAAAACCGACGTGCAAACCGCTTGAACACGGATGTCGTAAAAAGTCAATAATGAAATAAGAAGGTAGTCTTTGACGCAGACAAAATAAAAAACCAAAAGACGAAGGTAATTGCAATCAGCTTACTAGAACCGAGTCCAATATCACTTCTGTGCTTATTGTGTGCGGTTTAAATGATATATTAAATACAGTGTTCTTCTTATTACGTACTTCCGCACATAGAAAAGCGATACATCTGCAACTTCTGCCCAATAACATCGGATTATAAAAAATAATGAGGAAAAAGTGCAGTAAGTGTATATTTTAGATTATTCTCTTAAAGCAGTCTACAACTACATTATTCGACCGCAGTCGGTTAGAACATCCTTCCCGCAAACATTTCTCTATTTTAATGCTGGTGAACTGTATAATGTGTTAAATAAAAATGTAATATTGCAAATAATAATAAATTTAAATTGAAAAATAATTCGTTTGTCACTTAAATACTTTAAATTACATTGATACTGAAAATTTTATTAGAATAGAAATGCAGATGTGGAAAAATAACATATGAAACGAACAACACCTTACGCTCACACACACTCTCAAATAGAATTAACACCTACACATGCAATCATAACTACACAAAAATATAGTTATTTTTATTTATGGTACAGTTTAAAATTTTTAAATTACATCTCTATTACAATTGGTGTAATCTATATAGCCTTTATAAATTTAGTTTGGAAAGTAAGTTATTTTTATTGAGAAACGAATAAATTTCTTTTTCTTCGTTAACAGCCGAAATATTCTTGTTGTTATGGAGTTACAAAACACTGTATTGAACCTCGCAGTGTTTTGTTTTGACACGATAGAATGTCGATTTTTGTTATTTAAATTTGAGCAACTATTAAGTCCCCCGCTCCTGCAACATTTACGCGATGTAAGGGTTTTCGCCACAGACATGTATATCTAGATATATGTCTGTGGTTGTCGCTAATTCAGGCGCCTCGCAACACCGTACGTTACTTTTGTGTTCTCTGATTGTACTGAATTTCACGCGTGTAATTGTCAAAATAATTTCTAAATTTTAAAACTTACAGTGTCATTTTTTTTACTTTTTTTCTGGTTCATAAACACGAATACCGCCTAAGTTGAAATATCAGGGTACAAATCAGACCTAGAGAAATTATCTCGTCGTCGTAACTTCGTATTATTATAAAAAAAACCTTGAAACTTAAGAAAGTTTGTTCAATTTTCATAATGCATTAAACATTTATCTGAATAGGCTGTTATTTGGAAGAATATATTTTATTATTCCTTATAGAAAAAATCTCTGTGAATGTGTTCTCTGAAAACTTGGCACCACACACAATATGCCTTGTGCAAAAAAGTATTCAGACTGTGGTCAAGCGTGAGTGTTCGTATATTTTGAGATAATAAATAAAATGTGTATATCGCCGTACAAAAAGAAACTTTTTTCTCTGAAATCAACTTTAAAAAAAATAGCATAGAAATAAATGTTGTCAGGCATGTCATTGTTTATCATATAACTCGGTATACCATAAAATATCCCTATGTCGTCAAATTATTTGACCTTAAATATACATTTTCAATGCCTAATAAAGAGCCTCATTCTGATTAAAATCCGCTGTAGTAAAAATTTGTATTTGGCACTGAAAGTTTTTTTACCTCTCACCAGCTGATATATTTTTTAAATTTCGTTCAATATCCTATAGTTATTATGGTAATGTTGTTGCAGAACGACAATACGGAGCGGACAGCGCAAGCTCCGGCAGCGGCAAGGCATCGGCTCCGTGCAAAGTGTGCGGCGACAAGGCCTCCGGCTATCACTACGGGGTCACCTCTTGCGAGGGTTGCAAGGTATTTGAACATATTATTGCTACGTGTAAAGATGATTTTCCACCGGCGAGGCGAGAAGGGAATTGAAATCTCTCCGGAATATTTCCACCAAAAATGGCCATTATTATTATCAGTTCGCCTAGCGATAAACACGCGACAGAAATAACATTTACCGTAAATTATCATTATTAAATATGTTTACGGAAGAAAAATCAGATGAAGCCGTCTTTATTAACTTAACTGCCTCAGTGGCCGATTACCATGGTTCGTTTCCTGCGTTGGCGTATAGCCTAAATTTATTTCTCTCGTGAGTTTGGGTGTAATTTGTGGTTGTCTATGTCCATAGCACCCGCGAAACAGGGTTTCCCTAGTGCGAGGCTATGTTGAGTATGTGCGTTATTATTTTAAAATTTCAAATAGCACGTACCTCACAAACTCGTGTTTGATATTATTAATAATAATGATAAATGTAAAAAAATATATTTCAGACCTTGTCTGAAGATGTCTGTCTGATAATACTTTTAAAAAACCGTTGAAGCCGCGTCTAGCGCGGTGCATCAAAGATGCCATCCGCTAGCGCAAAATGGCATTAATAGCGAGCTCTTCAATTTTGTGACATAAATTTCAATCTTCGTCTCGTCTCGACTCGCCAGTGGAAAAGCACCTTATGGGCGATGACACGAGCGTGCGTTCTTGATCGAGACAACATTCGTTTAGAAACATTAGCCCTCGTTATTTTCCTCGTTCAAAATGTTCTCTTTTCGGTTAAAAATTAATAATGTTTGCGCCAAGACGTTGTAATTTAGTAGGAAACAAAAGCACCCGTGAGTGAATACGGAGCGTTTCACAATTATACGAGACACAAAGGGAATTTGAATATTGTAGACAGTATATTTTGCTTCATGGAGAAATTGTTTGTGACGAAAAAATAAAAAAGACATTCCGCCAAGCATTTTATTGATAAGATGAATTGTACTAAGTTTAAATATTTATATTTTTTCTATGTTCTTTAGTACAAATGATTTTGCTCAATCGTAAAATGTAAAATACTAACGCTTGTATTCATGTTATTAACAAATAGATCCAGGTGCGTTTCAGAGCGGTCGTTTTTATTTCTTATAATGAAATAAAAAAAATTAAGTCTAGCGAATTGTCATATATATAATAAATTCTTTCATTAATAATTTCTAAATAAAAAAAAATTAAATAAAATCTTAGAACATTGACTCAGTGTCCTGAGTAAGGAAAAAAAAATATTTTTATTTTTTATAACATTTATTAATATTATACTATGGTAGATCAATCCCGAGGCCAACGTGTTTGGATAGTCCAATGCGCATAACTGATCACAGTAAGTTCTTAGGATTCATTCTGGATGAAAATTTAACTTGGAAGCGTCATATAAATTCTAAGTAGACTAAGTAATGCGACTTATGCACTAAACAATTAAAACCTGTCGTTACAAATTCCATACTACGCCAAACATATTTTCATATATATTTATATTTATATATTTTCATAATGTCGTATGGTACCATTCTATGGGATGACTCCACTGATTCTGACAGGGTATTCATTATTCAGAAACGAGCACTGAGGTTACTTGCCGGAGTAACACGAAGAGCCTCTTGTAGGGACTTATTTGTGAGACACAGGATAATGACCATGTATTCGTAGCATTTATATGGAATAATCACATTCATACGAAAAAACTTACACAACTTTGGAAGGCATGAAAGCCGTTATAACACTCGCTCCACAGCACGACTGAGGGTCGTACCGCGACGGTTAGAACTCACTGAAAAAAATCCGCGTTAATCGGCCCGGCTTATTATGAGCACCTAACCGTTGACTTAAATAATTAGCCTAATGATGAAACCGCCGACTGAAAGACTTTTTGTTGGATAATGCGTATTATTCCACTGAAGAATATAGGGACATGGTCTTGTAATATATGTTGTAATTTATTGATTATTAGGTATACATATTATTTTACAGAAATGAATACATTACATACACATTATGCATACAATCATTATATTGACATAATTATTATTATATTATTTAATATGTTCCTACATGATTTCACATGACTATGTTAAAATTACGTAGTACAAAACTTGTAGGGGAGCGTGGGGGAATGGGAGCCTACTAAGGAAAATTGACAATAAAAGTCATAATTTATGCAATTTAAATTGTTATTAGTTATGAACGTACGCTTCACATATCTGGGTACTAAATAATCACAGAAAAAATACGAAACTTAAATAAAATATTTCGTTAAAACAGAAAAAACTAAAACATGTCATTCGCTCTCATTACCCCAAAGTTCGGGAAATGGGAGCCGGTAAGAATCCCGTATGTCAAATGGGAGCCATTATATATAATCAGTCTGAAAAAAACAAATAAAGTAATAAAATATATAAGTTAAAAAGTAATGAAAATAAACAAGAAAGTGTTAAAGGAATATCCAGTGAATATTGCAATGAGATAAGGAGAGCCAAATAGCTCTCATTACCCGCGTAACATCGAATTGAAAAAGAAATAAAACAGTAAAAACATTTCTATTTTTATTGTGATTTCAAGCAAAACATCTAAAATTTGATAGATATGGTGACATAGCTACTGTAAATACAATGTAGCATCTATGCATTTTAATGCTTATCTGGGATGATGAAATTTAGCAAATTTTATAAGCGCGGAGCGAAAAACACACAATCATCTCATACGACTAAACGCGGTGTTCTACGGGGGCGCCCACGGGACTCGAACCTTGTCGAACGTTGACGAAGACATAGGAGTACCGTTTGCACAAATACGAGCATTGGGAAAGTCCAGTTTAACACCGCTCTCATTACCCGCGGGCTCCCAATACCCCACGTTCCCCTACTGGATATTAGTAATTTTTTGAAATGTAACATTTATTACTATTTGTAACGATTCTTGTAATACAACATATTGTATATAATAATGTAAAGTTTACAAGATAATATATAAATCTAAAATCTAAATCTATATACATATAATATTAAGGGACGGGACAAACAAGTCGTGCGCCTGATGGTAAGCTACACGCCTGTCTATAACAGTTGCAGTGCCACTCAGAGCTTTAAATCGCAAAGAACACTTCACACCGGGACAGTTGCTTCAGCTGTACCAAGCAAAACTCCGGTCGTGTATGGAGTACTGCTGCCACTTATGGGATGGCGCTGCTAAAAACCAACTGCCCAACTTGGATTCAATCGACAAGCGTAGCAAGAGGCTTATAGGTGACCCGAAATTAGTAAAGGCGAAGCTGCAGAGCCTTGAACACTGCCGTAAAGTTGCCTTCTTATCGGTATTCTACAGGATGTATCACGAAGAGTATGCGATGGAATTGCATAATTTGATCCCGCCTTCCCCTTTCCATCGTCGGGGGACTAGACGTGGGCTGGGATCCCACCCCTACGTGGTGGATATTCCCATTCGTGGATTCGCACGAAGTGTTTTGCTTCCACATTTATGTGGCGAATGGCTAGAGAGTGGAAGTCCCTACCCGCGGACTTGTTCCTCGAACTTTATAACTTGGACCTTTCCAAGGCGAGAGTGAATAGGCATTATTTAGGTGTGCATGCTACATCATCGACCTCATTATCACTTTCCATAAGTTAAGACGGAGGTCAAATGCGCACTTATTTTTTATAAAAAAACTGAGTGAGACGTCTGATGAGATTCAGCATAGGTACCCAGCGGCGCAACTAATCATTCTGCGGGACTTTAATGCACACCATCAAGAATGGTTGTTCCCACACCAGATGACCGATCATGCTGGGAGAGAGACGCGTAAACTTGCGTTAACGCTAAGTTGTGGATGCCCCACAGGGTACTTCCGACCATGGTCTGGTGAAAACTGTATCCGTATACTCCCCACCCGATCAGAGCCTTAGTGGTATAAGACGGGTGTGGCGATACAGGTTAGCAGATTGGGATGAAATGCGCCATTTCTTTGCGTCATATCCTTGGCAGGTTTGCTTTTCTTCAGGAGACTCGTCGAGCTGTGCTGATGCTGTAGAGGTCTTGCGTTTGGGTATGGAGTATTACATACCTTACTCCGATGTACCCAATGGACCCCAAGCTCGTCCATGGTTTAACGCTCACTGCAGTCGTGCTGAACCACGAAAGCAGTCCGCGTACCAAGCATGGGCAGATGCTAGACTGCGCAAAGCTCCGAGTACTCGGAATCTGAAGAAAGCTTTTAATATAACCGCCATGAAATGCAAACGCGTGTTACGTAAGGGTGCTGGTGAAATTACAACTTATGTCTCTGGGTGACGGGAGCAGTGGCAGTGCCCCTCAGGTCTTTGCGATTTACAGCTCTGAGTGGCACTGCAATTGTTATGGACAGGTGAGTAGCTTTACCACCAGCCTCACGACTTGCTCGTCCCGTTTCTTGATACTATAAAAAAAAGTACTTAGTGTAACCTACTCATCCCATACTTTACCATGGGGGATAATTGATCAAAAGCGATGACAATTATTTCTTACAAAATGCATAAATATGAATTTTCAGATCCCTTACTTGAGAAATGATTGGTTCTCTGTACAAACTCATCCTCTATTTCACCCTATTTAAGGTTTATTTTTATGACAAAAACTAGTCTATGTCCTTCTCATAAGCTCCATCTATCTCTATACCAAAATTTATTAAATTTGTTTCAGTGGTTTAGGTGATAACGTAACAGACAGAGTTACTTTCTCATTTATAATATAGTACGTTATGATCTTTTGCATTCATAGATATAGTTTACATCTTGTAAGAAATTATTTTCATTAAACCATTTGTACAGGTTTTCAATTATTTCGAATGCAATAATTTTAATCTCATCACATATTGATGATAAACACAGTTTTAAACAACGTCTTCTATATTTAGCAGACATAGAAATATTATAAAGTAATGCCTATGGTTTTGCCAAAAACTCCGTGCGGTTCTTGCCACTAGCTAACTTAAACAAAAAGAGAAATGTTTTATTTTAAATGTA